TCATCGACTTTGAGAAGGCCTTTGACAGCGTCGACCGAGAAGTAATTTGGAAACTGCTTCAATACTACGGAGTACCGCAAACCTTTATCCGCCTCATTCAACAACTATATGAAGATGCCACATGCCAAGTAATCCACAATGGGAAGCTCAGTGATGCCTTTGAAGTGAAGACAGGAGTGAAACAAGGTTGCCTACTATCCCCCATGGTATTCTTGATTGTGGTGGACTGGATCATGCAGCAAACAGTAGGCAGCGAGAAGAGGGGGATACACTGGACGACGGAAAAGAACCTAGAAGACTTGGATTTCGCCGATGACTTATGCCTAATGTCACATAAACTTGAAGATCTGCAGGCAAAAACTAACAAGTTGATAGAAGAGGCAGCGAAGACGGGACTTCAGGTGAATATAGAGAAGACAGAAGTGATGAAGATACCGCACCACCACCATCAACAACAACAACAACAAACTCCAATCACCGTCAACGGGAGAAACTTAAAGGAAGTAACCTCCTTCACTTATCTAGGAAGCACTGTTTCAACTACAGGCGGGACGGACGAGGACGTCAAAGTCAGAATCGGAAAAGCAAGACAGGCGTTCATCAGCCTGAAACCAGTGTGGAGATCTTCTGCACTCAGCATGCGGAACAAGATACGGATTTTCAACACCAACGTAAAGTCAGTGCTCTTGTATGGCTCAGAGACTTGACGCGTCACGAAAGGTATTTCCAATAAACTACAGACATTCATCAACAACTGCTTACGCTCGCTGCTGAAGATCAGATGGCCAGAAAAAATAAGCAACAAGGAACTCTGGGAACGAACCAACCAAGAACCTATCACGCAACAAATATGCAGGAAGAAGTGGAGATGGATTGGCCATGCACTGAGAAGGCCGACGGAGGACATCACGCGTCAGGCCCTCGAGTGGAATCCCCATGGGAAGCGACGAGTTGGACGTCCGAGGGTGACATGGAGGAGGTCGTGCGAGCAGGAAATGAGAGCTTCTGGGCTGTCGTGGGACCAGGTTCAAAAGATCTCAGAGAACAGAGGTCACTGGAGGCGTGCTGCTGAAGCCCTATGTTCCACTAGGAACCCAAGGGACTAATAATAATAATAATAATAATAAGCAGTGATGACTTTTCCTAAGAAGTAAAATCGTTCACCGTGAAGGTAAATAAAAGTGCTCAATAAATGACTTGAAATCTATGTATAATAAATGAAATATGTGGTGCATTTAGCTTAGGTAGTTGAAAGATGCTTACATGAACTACCTTAATAATAAAGAGGACGGGAAGGGGGCAAATTAAAACCTGAGTCATCATTCCTGTTCCCCAAGTGGATCTCTCTGCTCGAGTGGTCTCTTGCTGTTGTTTACAATACCTAATCGAGCGCTATAAAAGTTCTACTTACTAATGAATTTATTCTTGTGAATATCTGAAGTATCAGTATCCCAAGGATGGTTATATGTTTCCATAACTAATTTGAATTTATTGTTTCACCTGCCTGGACAAAATATCGAATATTTGACTGACTTCAAGCGTTACCCTGAAAACTGTATAAAACTATCTGGCAGGCTAAAATTCCGAAATATGAGTGGGTAAATTGGCAGGGTGGCTTGTAAAGTCAGCTATATGTTGAGCAAGACCATTTGATATATCCCGTTTTCCAGAATTATCCCAGTAAAAAGTGGAAACTGAATAAATCCGATGATATATATATATATATATAAATATATATAGGTAAATTTGTGTCTGAGGGAAAGTAAATAGTCAATCTATTTTCTGTCATAAAATAAAAAGTTTATGAAAAAGAATTTTGAAGCCTGAATGAAATCGAAGTTATTTCTTATTTTCAAGTAACACAGCTCGAGCGGTGATTTACTCATGGGACAAAAAGATTCTGGCTGATTGCTAATGTCTTCTCATTAACTCTGATTACTTATCATAGCTGTAGTATTCGAAAATTCAGGGCACAATTCATATTATTTATTTCGTACTATCTTTATTTCAGTCTTTGTTAGCTGGTGTGATATAGTTTGGTTATCCATACAGTGCAGCGTAAAAAAGAGCAAATTTGAAAGTCAGACTAAATATCAGAAGACTGAAAGAAAATTGGTTTTCCATCGCTCTTTGGTGTTTGAAGAAATGATTTAACAAACGAAAAAGTGATATGGCTAAGGAATGGCCTTATGGACTGATGTTAGCTGAATGTTTCATGGGAAGTTTAAAAGTACACTTCCTGTCAACAACAATCACTAGGCTTCATTTCTGTAAAATATATTTGATATCGTTGTTATTTGTGGTAAGAATATATACCCCTAAAACTCAATTCATACTTCGGATAGTGACCACTCTTTTGTCAGCTGCACTTTAGAAACAGAATCATTTTCAAATTCCAGCTTTTGTGATATCCATTTTCAAAGAAAGAATGATAACCAACCTTATGGACAGATTTACAGAAATCCTACTTAGAGTGGACAGTATACTGAATTTTAAACTTGGAACCACTTAGTCAGAAAAAGGAATATAATACGTACACTTCACTCAATGTTCAGAAAATTCTGTACAGGGAACGCCATCTAAGATGAACTAAAGAACCTGTGATAAATTCCAGTAGAAAATAAACACTGACTGAAATTGATGAATAAGGATAAACAGCCGAAAACTTCATTTGGAAGCTTATAAATCATTCTGAAAAAGATTTTACAGTTGAACGTCGAATCCCAGGGTAAAAATGGTGCAAACATCTCCGTGAAGTAAATTTCAAAATCTTAAGCTAGTTAAAAGCTGATTTTAAAATCGCATTCAACTATTATAAGCTCATTCCATAGTTTGTGGATGACGAGGCGTAGTAATTATCCACTTTATATTGTGTACAACAGTTTATTCATAGTTGTCATAGAAATCGGTGGTAAGTAAGAATAAGAAAACTGAGTATAGCTGAATAAATGACAATTCAAAGTTCAAATTATGGTTGCTCATTCAAAAGAAGATTGAGAAATCTTTTTTGCTCGTAAAGAATCGGTCATTCTAAATAATCTCTTCTTCCTTTTATTTTCCAGCATATTTTGACTCTTGATAGGAAATCATTTCGGAGTATTCTATACTTTCCTTATGTTCCCGAATGTATAACTCAGAAGATAGATTTATCAAAAACATTTTTCTTCAACCCAATCATCTATTTTTTTCTATATTTTGTATATCCCTGGAAAAGTAGTATAAATATCCATGTCAAACCAAGAACTTCTCAATTATCAATATCTATCGCCTATCCACATAATGTGTTTTAAACAACCATAGTTTTAGAAAAATTATCCACTAGTTCGAAAAAATATGTATTTAGCCAAGTAAGAAATCACAAAAGAAATATTTTCCTTAAGAGCTGTCTACAAATGAGTGTAAAAATGTATTTCCAGTTTAACCCATCGTAGAAAATGTTTTTAAAAAAACACATTTTTACCTATCATATATGATGTATGAGATATTTTTTAATGGTATAACTCAAACGTTGTATATTCTTATGCAGAACATTTTATTTCAAGTAAATCCAGTCTCTTTTAGAGGAGTTATTGCAACTATTGTCTACATGAGAATCACGCTCCTATAAACCCTATGATAATGACATGTGTTTCTTCGATATCCTTGTAAACAGGTTGCGTAAAAGGTGTATAAGGTTTGGGTATGAAAGAGTTATGTCGCTCTCAAACTGACACCTTATGGAGAAATTTATTCAAATTCAAAACACAGTCAGGCAATGGGCTAAACCTATTTTGTGAGGGCTACTGATACGACGTGACCGGCCAAACCTTATTAGGTGAAGCGAGGCTCAAACCTGTCACTCACTTGTTGAAAGTCAACCAGCGAGAGTTTCATTCTCTGATGCATAGGATTTCTTCGGACATAAGGTTCTCATTCGGTCATCAATAATGAAGCCTGGTAGAAAGTTTTACAACTTGTTATCCTAACTGAAATTTATTGAAGTGAGATGACCAGTTATATAAATCTGGATCTTTAGGTCAAAACATCACGGCGTACTGAAACATGAGTTCATTTTTCAAAAGGAAACTCCTTAAGAGTAAACTTAGTAGTTATACTGCTAGAAGGTGGTTTTTATTCAATAAAAGGTTCCAAATCAACATTTCTTCAATATTCCCTTCCGTTCTCAGAGGAAAATCATGTAGAACTCAAACATCTATGCAAAACAGTAAACATACTTTTTCTGAGTTTTCATCGAGTTTGAAATTATCATTCTTTCCTCAGTAAAATACTGTTCGTTTGAGACTGCTATATAGCATATTGAGATTCTCTCGTATGACAAGTATCACAATCCCGGTTATCTCTTGACAACATAGAACTTTCACTTTTTTTAATACTGGAATTGATCTTTATGTGCTACTAATTTTCAGAATGTTGACCTACTTTCTGATTGAACCTACCTCACATGAGACATTAATCGTGTTATACTAAAGTTTGTTCACTATAGGTCACCTTTATCTAAGTGTCACTATGATCTGTGTTTCTTTTATTTTTAAAAATTTTATGACAGTAATCCATTTTATAAAATTAGCACCAGGCTGTAAATCTCAGTGTAGAAGACAGCAAGATACAATTCTGTATCTGTGCAATGACAACCTTGCTAAAAGAGTCAGATATATGTTGTTTTGGCTTGAAATCTTGTTATTTTGGCTTCAGAAAAGAAATAAATGGCCCCAATCCAATTATATCATCAGAATTTACATGCACTAAGTAGGAAATCAAAAGAATTTTTTATCAAATTAGTTTATTTCCTTATCTATATGGATATTTATTAGATTCAAAAGTGCAACCCTTTTTTGTCGCTACGGATACTCAATGCTGTTCAATTATTAACACGTTCTATTCCCTTATGAAGTGTTCGCATAAATTTTTGCATAACTGTGCTTAAAACCAAACCAATAGCCCATTCTGAAATACCTGAAGGAACTTCATTGAATGATTATAAGAATATAAAATCTACTTACCCAAAACCATTTTCGCTGGAGTTTCCGGAGGAAGCCAAAATAGGACTAGTGTTAATGAAGATAGTAAGAAACAAGGTAAAATCAATATGTAATTGTAGTAAGCTGCTTGTCGTTCAATTTTGATGAAAAATAGTGTATCGGAATACTGTTCTGGACAACAGGGATAAGCATGTGTTCTATGTTTTTGCCAATATTTTAAAACTGACCATTCAGGACTTTCAACATAATCCTTCATACTGAAACCTTCATCATAGAATGTTATATTGACTCGTGCGCTGAAATAATATAAAAAATAATGCAATATAAATATAGATTAGTAAATGAGATGCGCTTTCTGATACAGACAATTGATTTAGTTGGTTACTTTTTTCTAGTTGCATCAGGTTTGAACTTAATTCAAGCTTTTCAAAATGTAATCAAGCGGCCTTAATTAACATGGATAAATGTGAGCACAATGGCTTAATTGCAAGGTTTGTTTTACACAGTGAGATGCTTGCCAATAGTATGAAGTAAATACCTTTAGGTCGTAAATGAAAGTGTGGACAGAAAAAAAACACAAAGGGAGTTCATACATCCTGCACTAATGAAAATGTTGAATGCTAAAAGTCAGTCTGTGATAACCCTTGAACACAGATTTCATTTGGCTACTGGTAACTGATTCAAATATACATAAACCACTTATACAGGGGATTATGCATGGCCCGAGTAGCTCAGTGATAAAGTTTCTGACCACGGCACCTCATGAAGTACTTTGGAATCATCCAGGAAACTCCTCATTCCTCACGATTACAAATATGCATTACTGATGAGTACCGACAAGCGCTGAATCTGGGTCCAAAGCTTTCTTCTGTTTTACTTCCAAAAGCCAACATCAAAATGTAGTGGGTCATAGTATCGTGCCATGTAGCTTAGGGGCAAAAAGTAAACTTTGATAAGCTACGTCTGTAATTGCACCAGATTGAATGTTTTATAGGACTTCCGAAGAGTAAGCGTTTGAATGAATATTGTCTGTGTGAATAACTCTGCTCCTACTTAACAAGTAGACGTACATAGTCATTTTTTTCTAGAAAAAGTCTACATAACGCATTGTGGGTAACCCATGTAAGCACAATAGTCAGGGCGAACAGGAAAACTGTAATCTTTCCGTTACAGAAGGTCCCAAATATGGCAGCGAATTCTTAATGCGGTTCGCAGGAAAAGTATAGCTTGAGCCTTTTTAAAGTCACCTTTTTATAACGTCTTGTACAGTTTCGTTAAAATTGTCACTTGCACAATGTGCTTCGTTTCCTCCTCAGTTTCTCTCTCGAATCGCTCTTAATATGCCTATACTGTCTCTTGCTTTTCTGTGTGCAGAATATTTACCCATTGTTGGTAATTACCTACGATTTCGCTGACCTCTCAACACACACTACTTATATGCATTCTTATCAGTAGCACCAAATACAATACGAGACGATTTTCAATGGTACAAGTCTTGATGAGTATTTAACAGTCAATCGATTTTGAATGTTGATACCTCTGTAGGCGGAATTTTTTCATCTTAAAGTGGTTAAGGATTGGTTTTTGATCAGGGATTTCAAAAGAAAGTTAATGTTGTCTTCATTTCCCCTTGGACATATCTATATCTTGCAATTTTTGAAAATTGTTTGTCCTATCTTCATACCTAAAAAGGACTTTTGTAACAGTTTCCGATAAAAGCAGTTTATAGCTAACAATTTTCTGCTGTCGTTCTGCTCAAAATAAAGGCATGGAAAACCTAATCTTGGCAAGGTATTTTTTGATCGTTTTCAAAATTTATATTATCAGTAAAGTGGCTTCAGACAACTGGTTGCTTATCAATAATCTGGAATCGATAAAAGTGTTTTTGCTTAGAATGATAATCAGTGAAGTCTTAGTAGATAGAAATTCGAAAACAACGAACTTGGAACTTTTTATAATGCTTTGAATTACCTTCACGTTAGCATATTCAATTATTACATTATTGAATCTCACCACTTACATAGACCCATTTGATTTGTCAGATTAATCTCCACGCTTTCATTTCCTAGCATATTTCAGTAGCTTCTTTTTTAAAAGTTTTGCAGTGTTTAGTCACTACCACTATCGATTTTCTTAGAGGTTTCACTTCTAACATGCTCATGATATTTTGGCATTTATTCTTATCACTCTTGGGACTTATCATGATTATTCTTCACATTACTAAATCCATTGATCTCCAACCTTTACAATGATAAGTTTTCTTTAAGAGAATAAAAGTAGATCAAATTTCCATTGTAATTTTATACTTTTATATTTCAGTTTGTGAAGACTTGATGGTGTTTTTCTGCCAAGTTTATGGTATTGTTTTTTTAAGCTTATTATCTTCTAGGACTGACACTTTATTTAGTATGGTTCAGAAGTAGTGAGTCATTTTTGAGACATTTGAATGTTAATAATATTTTACTGGCAGTTTTACATGTTTTCAATTCACAATCATCCTCTTGTTCATTTCAAACGATAAAAAAGTAAACTGATTGATTAGAAACAGCAACAATGTTTTCCTTCTTTTTCTGCTCTGGTTCACGGGTTAATATACATAACTTGCAGATGAGTCGTTTCTGTCCCCAAAGTGTTTCATAATTAGTTTTTATATCTGCTATTATTTTATCTGTTGAGTTTGCTTGTCAGTTAAATGAATAGAAAATCTCTGAGTAATCTGCCTCAATGACTGCCTTATCTGACTTGACAGTAATCTTCTGACACATTAGAATTGTATTCATTTGCTTAACTGACAGTTTTGCAAATAGAATGAGGCATACAATAAGCATTACACTGTTAGAAACCATTTCTGAATTCCATGACACTTTGACTGTTTTAATTGTGTAAGATATCTTGAAGAGACTATTCGCTTTGACAGAGAATTTCTAAATTCGTGTTATAATATAGTCATACTTTTACAAGTTAATAATTCTGCCCTTTTCTCTCTTTTGTTTTATACTTGTACATTTTCAGAATTTAGATATCTTGACGTAAAACAGAAATCTCTTTAATTGAATGTAATCAGAAAATTAATTGCTAAAAACAATTGCTTTCTCCACTTATAAATAAAATGAATTATACTTGATTAGAATAAGTGAAATATACTTGGATTTAATTACAAAAATGAAGTTAATGAGCAAAAGCACGCCAACATTGATAAGAAATATTATCATCAGGAATTAGCATGAGAAGTGAAGCATATTTTGTTAGTAAAAAGAACCTTTGAGTTTGATGTGTTTTGAAGGAGCTTAAGGTGTAGGAATAAATTTTCTTTCAAAGGAATTTCATCCATGCTACAAGAAAAATAACTAAATCCTAATAAAAAATGTCTTTGAAAAAATAAATAATGGGTCTTTTATATGTATATATTTTGAATAGCTGATCTCAAACTGAACGTGATAATGACCGTATTTTGCCAATGAATTATTGGAATTACCTCATATCCGCTAATCTTCTTCTTCTTACGTGTCAGACGACTACTTTTTTGTTACGATAATTTTTATCATTTTGACTCTCTGAGATGATGATTGAAGCTGAAATAAAGATTTGGACCACGGTGTGATTTGAACCAGCAACGGCTGGATTTCTGGCGCTGTGCTCTACCTGTGGTCACTGATTCGAATCCCTCTGCGGTTCATATTTTCATTTTTTGCATCATCTTCATAGTAGACGGAAGATGTAGAATCTTTTATTGCTATCTATTTTAAAATCCGCGACTAAAAGAACATCATTATGTTATCAGGTAATATCATTTCTACGGAATATATTTCTAGGGAAAATTTCTACTTCAACAGCTTACAGAAATTATTTTTAGATTACCAGTAAACTGATGATCAATAAAATGCAGAGGAATGGTCAAAAAAGTAGTAAAGGGTTCAGTGCTGAGAATCAGTGCCAGTCTCAATGGGATAATAATTATTCTGACTTGATAATTCAAAGATCGTCTTGGATTATTCACGACAGGAAAAAATTTAGCGAACCATTGTTTTCAATAATTTCTTCAGGCTCTACAGTTATAAATCCGTGAGGGTAAGTGAAATGCAATAGCCAAAATAAGGTATGATGTACTATTTTCACACTATTGATATACTTAATGTTACGGGTAAATGGAGATCAAATCAAGTAGGATGGTGGTAATCAGTTTAGTGTGTTAGCTATGTAATTAAATCAATATGGTTTGGTGGAATTACGAAATAAGTATACAAAATCTACCGATAATGACTCAAATGCATTCATCACATTCAAATAAGGTGAAAATCATGTGAATACTGTAACGAAATAAAGAACAACAAATGTGAAGTGTTACGCAACAGTTGAGGATGACTTCTGACAGTGGTATGAATAAACAAGGGTATAAAAGTAATAACAAGAAAAATTAATGTTCATCAATGCAATGACAATATCGAAGAAAGGGGTGGAAGGTTAAACTATGAAATTTGTGGCAGGAAAGTTCATGAAGAATGCGCCGATCCTGTTGTGGGCCAAGGTAGATATCGTGGATGCATATTTTTTCTTTGAACATACAGGTCCGGTTTTCTTCCGTTTATACCTATGGCTTCGGTTGTGGATAAGATGCGTAGTCGTGCAACTTTGGGTAGATTGCAGTGCACACGATACATCACAAAAAGGTTTTTTACCTTGATGTGGTATGCAGTACCTACTAGATGTGAGAGCACTGTCCTGTTAATGCTTTTTTTCATTCCTTTGCCTAACCAAGCTGGTACATGTTCGCAAGCGTGCGGGATAGGGCATTTTGTGTACGGCCTTTGTAACTAGCTCCACAGGTAGGTTGAACTCATAAACGCACATCAAAGTGCACATCATTGGAGATCTATCCTTGGTTCACTGCGTCAGTAATGGTTTGTTTGAGAAACTGACAAAAATTTGCACTGCAGTGAATATCTTTTTGACTTATCTACATACTCGACATGTTAATATATCAGAGACAGAATCACCTTTGAGACTTAGTCTAATATATAAACGCTTCTTGGCAAAAATATCCTTCTTTATCTTCTCTTTGGGTTTTAATACGTATTTATTTATGAAGTTTAATGAACAACCATTTGCTGCAATGTTATCTACAGCTTATTCATTTTTTCTTCACACAGTCAACATAATATGTGTTTCTTATTCCGTGACACCGGCATTTGGCCAGGTTTATCTTATACTGAATTAACGTGAATATACTGACTAGTCCACGTGTTCTTTCGAAAAGATTCCTTCCTTCCACTTTCCTAGTGGGGAAGACATCTAAGAA